GAATCCTGGTCCACCCTCTCAGCAGCGGGGGTGGAGTGAGCTGGGCACGGCTCCTCGTCGTCTTCGGACAGATTGAGAACCTCCTGCTGCATCTGCAGAAGATCGTCCTCCTCTTGGTTTAGATCCAGTAGAAACTGGGTCTCGCCCCCCTCGATGTTGGGTGAGGCCGCTTCGTGCTCCATCTGGTCCGCCCAGCTAGCAGCGGGGGCTTCGACCGCCGAATCCTTGTCTTCATCAGACTGAGCCGTCTGGCTGGATTCGGAGAGCAACGGGTCTTGTCGGAAAACAGCATTTTCCCCCAGCATTTTCTCCAGGAATTTCACTCTCCTCTCCAGTGTCAGACGTGAAAGTCCGGCACAGGCCCGGCAGGACTCAGGCTCCACAAGCGCCCGTCGAGCGTGAATGATTCCTAGGCAGGCCGGGCAAGCCTCATGCTGGTCCTTCTCATGAAGCTTAAAGCCGCACCCCTGAGGACGGGGGCGAACAGAAGACTTCGGCTTCTTCGAAGGTGGTTTTGTGCTCATCGTGAACCACAAAACAGATTTTCAGCAGAAAATAAAGGTCACTTAAGTAGCGTCGAGCAGCAGACACATGAACCAGCAGGTAACGCGGTTAGCACCAGTAAAGCTAGCCTAAGAACCTTAGAAGCTGAGCTAACTAGCAGCAGCTATGTGAGCTCAGGTTTAGAGGTGACTATCGGAGGTGAAAGGCGATAGAACTGAGTTATCACGCTGGTGACTCCGAACTTATAGGCTGAAGGCGGAGCCTGTCACCCGACATTCAACGTCACCACGTCACCGGTCTAAAGACGTGATTAGAGGTGGCTTCAGCCAGGCGCGCGAGGGCGCGCGTGTCCCATATACAACTGTGTGTTTTACTGAGTGTAATGACTGAAAAGGAACTATGAGTTTCTTTAATTTTTTAATTCAGTTTATAAGATTTTAAAAAAACAACCTCTTCTCAGAAACTCAAATGATGCTAAAGATACTACAGTATATGGAGTTAAATGAAGAGTACTTAAGTCAAGTATAGTCAAGGTCAAGTATTTTTATTTTTTAGTTTGAACRAAGTACAATACTATTAATGAAACTGAATAAAGAACAATGGAAACAACAAAATAAAATATGAACACAGTATTTTAAACCACCTTGTACTATAGTGCTCAAATGCTAAACTGATTCTTACAGGTTTTTTGGAGTCCAGCTTTTTAGATATTCCTGCACTTGCTTAGAATCTAAAACCTGAACCACATTTAGTTGCTCTTGCTGCTCCTCCATTCATTTGACTGATAAATGCAAAACACTGTTCAGCTTTGGTGGGTTTGCATGATTTGTTCGACCTTGTTGCATGTTGCCAATGTTGATTCTCGTTGATCTCAGTGTTGTGTAGGTACCAGCTGTAGGTGGAGTTCACTGCAGTGTTCTTTCTTTCTTTCTTTATATATTTATGTTTTTTTTTTTTTTTT